TTTTTTTTTTTTTCGATTAACTTACCTATCAATTCTACCAAATACTTATATTATATCATATAGTTTTCTAATTAAATACATATATGATATAAGTTAGTTATTCAATGGTCAATGCTAATTAACTATTGGTTATCTATTGGAAAATCACTTATAAACTATGACCTAATAATACCATATTTGATTTTTCCTTGTTAATATAAGGAACGACACACGTACATTTTAGTTTTTACCACTCTATTATGAACGGACCGGACTTAGCACCCACTACCAGAGGCCCAAGTTCTAGGATTTCATCGCAAAGGCCCAACAAAATTTCATTTGATTATATAAATATTTAATTTCTGTAAAATCTATATATATATAATTACTGGCATATAGCATTTAATAAAACATTTAATAAAACCTCCATTTATTTTCCCGCTCATTTTTTTAATTAATGTAGAACCGTTACATTTTACATTAATAAAGTGTAATAATAATTTGAATATAATTTATTCACTACTAACACTAATTTATTACAACTTTACATTAAATAGTATGTAGAAGTTACATACTTATAAATAATTGTATTGCATTTTTTTTCTTTAAAATACTTTTTTTTCTAAAATGAAATATTTTTGTTCTTTTTAAGCGATTGTTATCTAATATTAATTAACTGGCATGAGTGTCATAATTAAACACCTTAAAACCACATAAACAAATGCTATAACAATAATAAAAATAATTGTAATACTTTTCTAACTAATTAATTGTATGGTCCCTTTAAATTACTAAATTATATTAGCCATTAAAATTTATGGCATCAATATAAAGATTCATACGTAAGTTAAATAAATTATATTTACATTACACATTTGCATGTAGTCAAAATTTAAAATGTAATATATTAATTATCTAATATAAAATTTTTATATATTGTATACATAAATATAATATATAAATTTTTATTTTTCTTTGTGCATGTGCACAGGATGAATACTAGTATTAATGATTAGGGCTACCTCGCATTTGTGAATTTATAAATGAAAATTTCTTTCATTTTCTGCTGGATTAAATGTTTGTTGGTTATATTTTGGTTGAGCTCTTTGATATACGTATCAAATTATCAAATTTATGCTATGTTATACTTCAAAAAAAAAAAAAATTTAATATAGGTGAATTTCACCATATATATATAACTACATTTAATTAATTAGTAGCACCATAATTTGTGGAACACTTTAACTTGTGGGTCAAATCATGGTAGTGTATACTTGAATAACATATCATCTACAAATCACAAGGCAACAAACACAAAGAAGCCAATAAATCACTCAATGTCACATGGAAAAAGGCTGTTAA